TTTAAAAAACAACCAAATTTGGCATAATTTGTGGACAATATTCCCTCAAACCAAGCATAAAGCTCCTCAAATGTCAGATAATATGCAAAACACCCCTTTATCATGCTCAGGCCCCCCACCCCAACATATGACACCAGTTTCCATCACCATTTTGGAAAGGTGTTGTTGCTGTTTTGTGCCTTCAAATCATTTCTGACTTATGGCAACCCTAAGGTGAACCTATCATAAGGTTTTCTGGGGCTGAGAGTGTGTGACTAGCACAAGATCACACAGTGCATTTCCATGGCTGAGCAGAGAACTGAACCCTGATCTCCAGAGCCATGATCTAATGCTTAAACCACTACACCACACTGCCTCACACTGGCTTTGGGAAGGTCATGGGTGAAAACAGAGGTATTTGGCATGCTATTGGAGCTCTGCAGCCAGCAGGAGATTTATGGGTAAAACAGGCCCCCAACCCCTTGGTAATTGCCTACCGCTAGTCTAACGGGTACTTCCTCACAGCCAGGCACAAGGGATAATGTGTCTTGGGACATCCAGTTCCTGCCAGGAAGGAGAAGTAAAGCAGTTTCTGGGCAGCCATTTTGTGTGGGTGAGTGTTTAAATTCTTTTAAAAAACACTTGGGGAAAGTGTGTTAGTTACTGAGTGGTGAGTCACATCTATGAGTCGGTAGGGAGTGGAGCTAGCCAATTAGCTCTATACAACTCCTCCCAGAGGCACATGCCTGACAATGTGCAAATTTTTCACAGGACAAGAGAAAGCACAGCACAGGTAGAAGGGGGGCTTTGACCTTTCTTTTTAGAGGTTCTTCTAATAATAATAATAATAATTTAAAAGGCTTTGAGATTTGTTTGGTTGGGGTTTTTTGTTTTTGTTTTTTGCTCAGAGGAAGAGAGTCAGAGACTTGCCACCAGAATAAGGTAGCATCCAGGAGCCCTATGTAGAGTTAGAAACCCAGTTGATTGAGCTCACTGACAGAGCCTGGTGAAAAGGCCAGGAGAACTGGGGCCCTTTACGTGGGTCTTTACCTGGGGACTTTTCGAGGGAGAAGCCCAGAGTTCTGTTTCCGTGCTTCCTTAAGATTTTTCACTATGGACACTGAGGGAGTTGCTGCAGTCACCTGCAACATTTGTGAGATGTTTGTCTTTACCTGCACCAAGTGCAAGTTCATTGCCCTCATGGAATAGAAAATACAGCAGCTGGAGGCTCAGGTAGCTACACTTCAGCATATTAGGGAGCAAGGGGTTTTCCTGGACAGAAAGGAATGAATAGTCTTGGATGCGGACCACACAGAGGAAGTTGTTGAGGAGGAGGTCACTATATGCACACAGGAGGTAGACAGCTGGAAGAACGTCACATACAGAAGAAGGGAAAACTGGGATTGTTCTGGGAGCTTGCAGCTACAGAATTGATTTGAAGCTCTCTTCCTTATCAAGGATGAAGAGGAAGAGCAGCAGGGACAGTCCTCAGGGACAGTGCAGGGGACCCTAAGAGTACCACCACAGGGAACAGCCACTGCTAAGCCTCAGAGGAGGTGTGTGGTGGTGGTGGTGGTGGTGGTGGGGACTCCTTGTTGAGGGTACAGAAGCAGTGGTTTGTGGACCTGACAAGATGTCCTGGAAAGTGTGTTGTCTCCCTGGGGCAAAAGTCTATAATGTGACAGTGAGGCTGACAAGACTTGTCAAGCCTACTGACCAT